ACACCACCTGCTGCCCCTCCCAAGTAGTTTTATATCACCCAGGATGTCCTTCATAGTCCATTGAAAACATTAAATGTGATTCTTACGACAACCCTCAATATTTTTTTTGGAGAGGTTTTTGCTATACGGCTCATGCACACGCCAGACAGACAGAGAGAGACAGAGAGATAGAAAGCAAGAAATCACCCCCTAGGAGGGATGGCCATGCCGCAATCCCTTCTCCTCCATTCTCCTCTCGGCATCTTGGGCACGCACGCACACACGCCCAGCGTGCGTTTTAAGCCACCGAGTCCGGGACGCAAACCGTAGTCGACTACATGGGAGTCCAGTGACATAGCCATTACGCTAACTGTTGGTCCCGACAACCCTCAATTTATGGACCAGTTCTAGAAGAAGCTATTAAGGGTACTTCATATCAATTCCTCTACCTTGCCACAGTGGAGTTTGCTTATAAAGAGCTCATCGTGGGACCAGCAGATGGCGTAATGGCTACATCACTGGACTCCCATGTAGTTGACCGCAGTTCGAGTCCTGGACCCAGTGGCTTAAATTCACACTGGGCGCATGTATGTGCATGCCCAAGATCCCGAGAGGAGAATGGAGAAGGGACTGTGGCGTGGCCATCCCCCCTGGGGGTGATTTCTCACTTTCTGTCTCTCTGTCTATCTCTGTCTGGTGAGCACACATGCCCTATAGCAAAAACCTCTCAAAAAAAAAAAAAGAAAAGAAAAGAAAAGAAAAGAAAAAAAAAGTTCATCGCTCCCCTCCATCCAGAACATGTCCTTTCACAGTAGCTGTGGCATGAGTCTTATCCACCTCTGTCGCCCTTCACCTTGGGTGCCTTCCAAACCTTGGCAGCTAGGGGAAGCTATGGGTTACCAAGATTTTATCTCCCAGGTTGCCAAAAACAAATGCAAAGTATATGCCAGTTGGTGCTTGATTCAGAAGGAAGGCATCCAAGTGGGTGATACTGTCCAGCATACCTCTGAGCACACAGTACCCATCCATCTGAGAAGCTGGGACCCCGGTGGGAAGCTGCTACTTGGACAGTTTGAGATAACAGAGAACATCACCTGACTGTACCCTTATGGACAAGTGGTCTGAGGCCTCAGGACCAGATCAAGGGCTCCCACTGAACCCTGAGCTCAGACAAATAAATGCTCAGTCCAGGTCCCACCGCCCACTAGGAATGTGCTCTTTCTTCTCAGTCTACAGCTACTTGCTCGTGGATATTCTACCACCCCCACTTTGCCTAGAGTCAAACAAACAAGCTTTAATGGCATTGCTTTCAGGAAATGGCTCCTTGTGGCTATAACCTGTGATGAAGTACAAATCAACCCCCAGTTCAATCTAGGCTTCCAGGATACTATACTCTAACCAAATCACTCATACTGCTGCCTCTCCAAGTCCTCCACAGTACAGGGATTGCGGAGGGGATTCAAACCGCTTCAGAGTGGATTCAGAGCGGGCTCTGGTGGTATCATTATCTCAGGTAGATAATGCTAAAGTAGATGTCTATTGGAGGCTAAAGAGAGGAGGGACAGAGAGGATGAATGAATAGGACCAAGCCAGGAAGAAGGGGACAAAGCAGGAGCTGGGGACGAACTCCAGGACAGAAGCAGAATCCCCACCGTCCACCAGAAATGAGTCAGCAGTCCTCAACAGTTTCCAGAAAGAAGAGCAAATTCTGATCCCATTCTTGAAAGCATCAGAAACTAAGAAAGATGAAAATCTGAGGGAATGGGACAGAGTACTGATCCATGAAAACAAAACAGGGACACTGGGGCCAGTCCCATGTACTAGTAGTTAAGGGAGCCAGATCCCACGTGGCCAACCATATAGCTCAAATCCCATTTCTGGTGGCTTGAAAAGCATGCTAGGTGTGTGTACATGTGCCCCAAATCCTAACGGAATGGAGAAATGGAGAAGAGATTGTGGCTTGACCATGCCTCGTTGGGGGATGCTTTCTCCTCTGTCACTTTGGTGAGCACATACACCCCTGAGCACATAAAAAATACATGCACAACAGAACAGGTACTGAAGACATCAGACGAAGAGTTAGAAATTACACTATCTGAGACTGACTGAAGGAAATAGGACAAAAGGGACCTCGACCCTTTTTGGCTTGGGTGACAGAACGGATGAAAAATACACAAGAGAGAGAGGGAGAGATCTTGGAGACTTCTAGACAGCTCCCTTTTCTCACTTCCTCACCATGTCATGCTCCTCCCCATCTTAAATCTTCTCAAATTCATCCACTCTTGTTCAGGATTCTGAGTTGCAAGTCTAATCTAGCCCATTGGAGCAGACCGTGAATGTATTATTAAAAAATATTAGGGGGACCAGCAGTTAGCGCAATGGCTATGTCGCTGGACTCCCATGTAGACAACCACGGTTAGCGTCCCGGACCCAGTGACTTAAAAAAAACTCACGCCGGGCGCGTGTGCGTGCGTGCCCAGGATCCTGAGAGGAGAACAGAGGAAGAAGGGATTGCGGTGTGTGGCCATCCCCCCTGGGGGTGATTTCTCACTTTCTGTCTCTCTGTCTCTCTCTGTCTGGCGAGCGCATGAGCCCTATAGCAAAAACCTCTCCAAAAAGGAAAAAAAAAAAATTAGGAATCATACAAAAGTGGCAGGAAGAAGAGAGAACCAAGCTTAGTGGATAGTAACTAGAAACAATGCGCAGAATCCTGCCATTGACCTGGTCTGGCACAGACGCAATCCATTGAACACTGTGGTGGGCACTGCTGACACTGCCCTGGGCCCTGGGCCCTGGATACTGGTGCTGGAAACAAGATGCTGTTTCACTGCTACCCCTTGCCATCACTAGCAAAAGACTTCTTATGGCCACAGCTTCCTTCAAGCTTTTTATTTTTTTCCTCTCCACAGGGAGGGAGAGAGAGACACACAAGGAGAGGGAAAATGAGAAATCACCCCCTGGGGAGATGGCCACATCACAAACCCTTCTCCATTCTCCTCCTGGGATTCTACGCATGCACATATGCATGCCCAGCATGATTTTCTTTTTAAAGACTTAATTAATTAATTAATTATTGTTATAATTTGACCAGAGTAGGAGAGGAGTGAGAAAGCCTCCAGATCCAGGATTCAAACTATGATCCACCATGTGGGAGTCTAGCACCTTCACCCTATGCCACCTGCTGGCCCCTCAAGCTCATCTTTGACCCAAAATCTGGATGAGACATTTGACCAGCCTAGCCAAAACTCTTTGTCTATGTTCTTGCTGCAAAAGAGGCTGGGTAAGGAAGATCTGGTCTTTTTGGCCTCTAGAGTAAGATACAGGTTTTGCTCCATAAGGGATTCCCAAATCTAATAAATACTGGTAGCCACTACCACCTTTCCAGTCCCATCTCTTGTCCCTCTCCATGTCATCTAGTACTTCCGACTCCAAATCAATAAAAGGCTCTCTGATATTTCTCTTAATGCTTGTAACACATGTTCCATCCTGCTGTCTGAAATGCTCTTCTCAATTCTTTTTGTTTGTTTGTTTTTTTGAGAGGTTTTTGCCAGAAAGACAGAGCGAGACAGAGAGACAGAAAGCGAGAAATCACCCCCCAGGGAGATGGCCACATCACAATCCCTTCTCCTCCATTCTCCTCTCAGGATTTTGGGCATGCACGCACACAGGCCTGGTGTGAATTTAAGCCACTGGGTCTGGGACTCGAACCGCAGTCTTCTACATGGGAGTCCAGCGACATAGCCATTATGCCAACTGTTGGTCCCATTCTTCTCAATTCTACTATGGTCCACATATTCCTTTTTCTCCTCCAAGACTTATCTCAAACACAATTTCCCTCATTAAGCCATTTGAAGTTCTACAAATATGCCAGTCCCAGAAAAATAGTGTCCACTCAGATAAGGAGCTTTTTTACCTACACTAACTCTAATTATCTGTCTAATTCCCTGATTCCAGAAGGAGGCAAGTTAAAACCCAGAAGTCAAGGAGAAGTAAGAGTGTGGTGAGGGAGGTCTTGTGATCTCTGAATTCTCCCTTCCTCTACTCTGTCACATGGTGTTTTGTTTTTAAAAAATTACTCATGGGTGGCAGGTAGTGTTGTGGCTAAGGTTCTGGATTCCCACATGGCTGACCATGGTTTGAGTCCTGGGTATGGCGACTTCCTTTCTCACTTTCCCTTTCTCTCTCTCTGGTCAAATTAAATAATAATAATTAATAAAAATTTTTTAAATAATTCTTTAAAAATTTATTTATTTAGGAGCCGGCAAGTACCATAGAGGTTATGTCGTTGGATTCTCACATGGCTAACTGAGGTTGAAGTCTCAGACTCCATGGTTTAGAATTCACACTTGGGGGACCAGCAGTTAGTGTAATGGCTATGTCGCTGGACTCGCATGTAGCCGACCGTGGTTCAAGTCCCAGTCCCGGTGGCTTAAACTCATGCCGGGTGCGTGTGCGTGCATGCCCAAGATCCTGAGAGGAGAATGGAAAAGGGATTGCAGCGTGGCCATCCCCCCGGGGGAT